CACACACACACACGCTGATGTGACATGGACATGGGCTTGGGATGGGCCTGGGTGAAGCGACGATTGTAAAATATATTAACATAAATTTGACAAGAACAGTTTTTGACGCAGCGCTCGAGGCAGAAGCTGCCTAGGAAACACCGTTTAAGAATAAATATGTGTGTGAATGTGCATGTGTGTGTGTGTGTGTGTGTGTGAAATATTGTTTCAACTTTATTAAAAAAATGGCAACGCAAATCTAAAACAGCTAAAGCCAAAGCGACAACAGTGCGCATAATAAATGGCAAAGCTCTCGGCATTTGCCGCCCGCCTTCCGCCCGCCGCCTGCCGCCTCCCTCAGCCACAGTTGGACAGTCATTGGATATTCATTATACGCCCCGTCGCTGCGCTCACTGCTCGCAGCGAAACTCGTCAAAAAGTTTGAAATTAATTTAAATTTTTAATACGTTGCCCGATCGTAAATTGTATATTAGATTTGCCAGCGCCCAAACAAAGCCGAATTTATTCTGAAGAGTCCATTCGCAATTGCCTCGACATCGGGCAATAAAGCCAAATGATTAGCCAGCTTTGCGCTGATGAATTGTTTCATATGAATCTTTCAATTTACAATGAAATTCAAAGCATTCCAACTGTCAAATATGATAAGAGAGTATTGTTGCCCATAAAGATTGCCTGCTGATATAGAATATAAATTTGTTATATATTAAAGGGGAACGAAATGCCAACAGAAACTTAATTTAGTAACTGTAAATCTATAAAATGCAGTCAGTTTTCAAAGGCCTAGGCATATTTACAAGACTAGGTCAGGTTGTTAGACTACATCAAGTTGGGCAATTATATTATAGAGAAAGCAATAAACAAATATCATTGACTCTCATAAACAATGAACAAACTTAAGCAAATTATGTATATGATGGTAAAATTTCTAGAGTTCCTTCTTCTTCTTTTATCTCTCTTTCGTTTCGAATGGCATTTAATTTGAATTTACACATCAATAACTCATCCGCAGATCATAAATGAGTTTTCTTATATGTCAACGGGCACATGTCTGTCGCAATGCTCAGGTTTGCTCCGCGCATAATTCCATCACATCGCAGCTCATTTGGGCAACCGGGCCCTGCTGCCCCGCCTCCTGCTCATATGCTTATTTCATATATATGCTAAGCCAACGTCGCCCTTCCCCGCCTTCCCCTCGCCATCCCTCCCAGCAAATGACGCAACATTCTCATGCGAACATTTCATTCTGACGAGGCGACGAAAATAACATGTCAAATTTATAATGCCTACAATTGCGTTTTTTATGGCCGTAGCCGACGCGACAGACGCGGCAAGAAAAAAGGCAATAATAAAGCTGTGGCTCAGCTAGCCATGCCGAAGACCCAATACCCTTCTACTACGTGGAACTTTCTTGTGGCTAACGCCCGCATAGAGCTAAGATACCCTCGGTTAGCGTACGCAAATAAAAACGCGTCGAAATTGTTGCCATTGTGCGGCTATAGACTTATTGCCAGATGCAAAGCCATTGGGGGCGTGGCTCTATAGCGCTAGACGGATAAATGTTTTCCAAAACAATTTGAGCATTTTTTACGACTTGCTGAACTAATTACACGAGTTCTTAATGCAGGCAATGCGCCAAATTCGAAAAGAAAACGCAAAGAAAAAGAGGAAAAACTTGTACACAATTTTCCTATTTGGCTGCTAAGCGAATGTGTTAAAGTCGAAATGTGGCACACGAGGCGCATCATTTCTCAACGTTTCGCATCATCATCAGAGACATTTACATTCACATTCGCATTCGCATTCCCATTTTCATTCATGGAAATGCCTGGGTTACGGCTCGGAAAGGTTTTCCTCGGAAAATCAAAGCCGCTGATAGCCGAATTGAAAAATCGACGCCCCGCCTTGTCGTAGCTGCCGGCAGCCGTCACGTTTCGCTAGAGCCAAAGCCAAAGCCAGAGTCAGAGTCAGAGTCGGAGCAGGAGTCGGCGCTGGGACCCAGCCCAGCGTTCATCGAAGATGATGGCAATTGTTGCAAATAATTTTTTATGCTGAACACTGCCTCGATGTGGCACGGCCTGGGCCGAGAATCTGTGCGGTTCGGGGGGGCGGTGGCATGCGGAAGGAGCCAAACTTTTGTTTGTTGCCAAAAGTTTTGTTTGTTTGCTGAAGGCAGCCAGGGAGCTGCGACTGCCTGCCGTTTCTCATGACTTTCATTTGTTTTGACATCACGTTGCTGCCGCGTAGGCGCGGGGCACTGCCAATGCGGGCAACAACAGCAACAACAGCAATAGCACTGAGTCGGGCGATGTAATCGGCACATTCGAGCACCATGGCACGAGTGCGCATAGCATTGAAAATGTTGTGGCAGGAGGCGCGGCATGCATTAAACGCAACTGAAGCTAACAACGAGGGGAGCCACGTAAGTAATGCGGGGCAAACTAGAAAGGTAAAAATTGTCTGTATTTGTAATTCAAAAATCCAAGTTAGATGTGTCTAGAAGTATGTGAGATAGATTCCATGAATGAATGACTGACTGACTGAATGAGTCATTGAATGACTAACTTAATGAATGACTAACTGAATTGACTAACCGACTGAAAGACGGATTGAAACGGACTGAGGAGCAGGCTGAAGGACTGACTGAGTGACAAAATGAATGACTGATTGAATGAACTTAATGAATGACTGAATGAGTGACTGACCAAGTAGCCGACTGATTGATTGACTGAATAATTAACTGAATTACAGACTGAATGATTGATTGAATAACTGACTGAATGACAGACTAAATGACTAAACGAACGACTGCCTCAGTGATTGATTGAATGAATGACTGAATGAATGAATGAAGAAATGACTGATTGAATGATTAATTTGATGAATGACTGATTGAATGATTAATTTAATGAATGTCTGACTGAGTAACCGACTGAAGGACAGGCTGAATAGCTGAAGGAATGACTGCTTGAATAACTGACTGACTGACTTAATGACTGATTGAATGACAGACTAAAAAACTGACTGAGTGATAAACTAAATAATTAATTGAATGAGTGGTTGAATAAATGAATGACAGACTGAATGAATAACTGTTTGAATGACTGAGAGAAAGACTGGCTGAGTGCCAGACTGAATGATTGACTAAGAAGCTGACTGAAATACTGACTGAATGACTAACTAAATAACTGACTGACTGAATAATAACTGACTAATAACAGCCAGGCAGGCTGAATGACTGACTGAATGCTAACTAAATTTAGTCACTCATTGACTAATTTCCGGTAAATCAACTGAAATTCGCACAGAAGATCATCTTTAATATTTCTCTTCTCAGCTCTTCTCTCTAATCAGAATTGATTATATCAATCATTAAATTATATCAATCATTCCATTCAGCCGCACCAACTGCTTAAACAGCTCTCGACTAATCCAAGGCGTATCGACGCAAAAGTCATAAAAAGCAAGCTGCACGTTGTTGCCAGTTGCCACTGCCACTTGATGTTGTTTTTGGTCTTTGACTGCTGCTTGTATTGGAACATTGTTTGAACGCTCTTTGCCGCTGTTGTGTTATTACGCGTTATTACAACAACAACAGCAACAACAACAACAGCAACAGCGACAGCAACAATAACAGTAAAAGCAACAGCAATGGCCATACCAATGACTGGGCCAACAGCAGTTGGCCAAAGGCGTCTTATATGAATTTGCCACTCAGCGCCGCACTCTATGTGTGTGCGAGTGTTAAGTATATATAGATGTGTGTGTGAGTGTGTGCGTGTGTGTTATACAATAATCAGACTGTTTTTAGGAAAATTGGCAAAACGCGCAAAAATTCTCGTCGAGTGGTTAAAGTAGAAGCAGCAAATGCTATCGTTCCCCCTTCCCCCTATCGCCCCTCTCGACACTTCTTCCTTTGCCAGCGGCGCTTATGCATTTTTCATAACGTACACAAACACGTTCTAGATACATATTCATGCCAGCTTCCCAACCCACTCCCTCTCACGCTCTCCCCCTCTTTCTTTCGCTCTCTCACTCACTCGCACACTCAATCCAGCTGGCTGTTATCCATCGTGTGTATTTATATACGGCAGCAATGCTTTGCAAAATATGAGAATCCGTTGATGCTCTCCGTGCATCCATCAGCACGTCACGGGGCGGCAACAGCTGCCGCCCGGACTCACCAAGTGCCAATAAAAATGTTAAGTATCTTTGCACTGTTGACATTCCAGAGGACGTGCCCATACACGCACGGCGCAAATGCCTAGATAAATGCGCCAGATACTCGCCGAGCCGTATAAATTAACCAGCTGACTTAAGCGCCGTCGCATTTTTGACAATTCCGATGAGGCGTCAAAGTGCGGCGACATAGTTTCGGGCGCCGCGAGGCACCGAGACGTAATCGCCTAACTGGCAGATACTTGCTGGGGCTAATCAAACGCACTTCATCTAGGTGGCCCACGTCTGGAACTGTAATGAGTTTTAGTTGGGCGTGGAGCGAGTGGCTCCTTGAAGGGGGATGGGGCGTGGGACAACATGCTCATATCACAGAGTCAAGGATGCATACATATATCTCTTTTAGATAGATAGATCTAGCCGTATATTTAGCTATGTACATATATTAAGCATGCAAGGTAGCCGCCAGGTGGCGCTGCGTGCCCGGCCATGCCAAAAGGATACGGATGCGCCCCAAGTACATATACATATATATATATTCATATATACAGGTTGCGTAACTCGCCGACGTGTTTACAAAATATTTACAGATTAATTCAACGGGTATGCAAATGAGCGTTACGCTTCCACGCATTTTTACAGAGACTTACACTTCAATTTACATTTTCATAAATTTTCTTCTTCATTATGATTTTCTATTATTATCTTTCACTGTGTTTTTTTTTTTCGAGCACTCGCACTTAATTTGCAGTCGACGCTGTTTTCTAATTAAAATTGACTGCAAAGCGAGTTTTCGCATTGGTTATTCGGTTTGCTGTGGCACTCACCCGCTTGCCCCGCTTGCCGCGTGGTCCTTTCTCGCCCGGCGGTCCGGCCGGTCCGATGGGTCCCATCTGTCCGGGCTCTCCTCGCTCTCCGGGCGGGCCTGTAAATGTTAATATTTGGCATATAAAGCGAATCATTTCAAATAGCACAAACAGCACACAGTTCAGGCAACATACATAAATATACACATACACTTGGAGAAATAGTCGAGCTACAGGATGTGTTTGATGAAAGGGAAATATACATATATAAATAATTAAGAAAATAATAGTTATTAAATTGTTCAATTTTGTTCATTTTCAACTCGAATAAATTTATAAGAATTATGCGATATTTTTTTAGTTTTTATTATTATTTTATTATTATAATTATCTCCGATAAATCACAAATTTCTATTTTTTACACAATTTTTAGAGTCAATAAAATTTGATACAAATTCCGATAATGAAACCTATATGTATGTATATGCATATATTTAACAGACTTTATTGGATATTTGATATATCAATAAATTCATAAAATGAATGAATCAATCGAAAACGTGTATTACGCCGTCATGAATACCCGCATAAAAGATATGGTTAGTGCATATATTTTATTTTTATTACTTTTCCCCACATGTTTTCTTATGATATGCATCTACATCCTCATATATAACAATTTGATTTAATCTATGCAAATATTTCTTAAAGTGTACAACTTTATTGACACCGACACGCGCTCTGCGACAAGTGCGGTGCAAATAGTGGGCGGGGCTGTGGCACTGCTTTGTAATTACACCCGTTATTATCATCGCTCGATGGCCTGTCACCATTCATCTGTCAGTCAACAAGCGTTTGATGGGTTTTCGGTCAGCAATTTGTGCTGCTACTCCTGCTCCTCCTGCTGCCGACTGCGATAAGCGACTATCGTAGCTGCTGCTGCTGCTGCTGCTTTGGATGGCTCTCGTTTCAAGTTGAAAATGCAAATTGTTTATTTGCTAAAAAATAAACTGCCCAAAAGCCAGCAGTGGCTCGTTTGACAGCAGCTCGAGCTATGCTAATGAAGCGTGTGGCTTTCGAGTAACTTGACCCATTTGCCGCCGCACACAGATACCTCTGCTTTTATTTATGCAGCAGCAATTGCAATTTCTGTGTCACATTTGCGCCATGGCAAAATAATCAATAGGCGTTTTGCAAGTGAAATGCTGGACAGACAGACGGTTATAGTCATTCAATTAGGGTTTCGCAGTGAGAAATTTACACATAAATCTATCTGCTGAGCACTCACTTTGCTCCACTGTGCAGCGACGTGACGACCTGTTTAGTGAAAATAATGAGAAATAGTCTTTTTTGACTAAAGCCATTAAATGTGACCATTTATACAGGCCACACACACACATAGGCAGACGAATAAATAGACACACACACCAACACACATACATATATATGTTTGTATTTACATGCATACAGAATTCATATCATAGATCCAATTGTGTGTGGCTTGTCAAAACATGCCTCTGTGTGTGTGCGTGTGTGTGTATGTGTGTGTGTGTTTGCATGAAGAGATATAGAAAATTTATTAAGTTCGTAAAATTGCTTTTAGGGCGGGATCCGGGTCGTTGAGTCGAGTTGGCAGGACTCTCGCCTCCTGGTCAGTGCGCATTAATTTGCCTGCCCACAGTCCGGCTGGCGTTTGGTTTATGGCTTCTCTGCCTCTGCCTCCGTCGCTGCCTCTGCCGCTGCCTCGGTCCTCTGCCCTCTGTTGTTTATTTAGAATGAATATTTTGCTGGTCCTCTTTGTTTTGGTCACGGTCTCGGTCTCGGACTCGGTAAGTATTTATGGCGGCATAATTTAACGTTAAGCATTTTAGGCGACAATTTCAGCCATAATCAAAACTATTGCCAACAGCCCGACGACAGCGTGGTCCAGCTCCACGAGCCCTCAAGTGGATTTATAGAGTCCAGGATATTGGATTGTGTTGCTCTGGCCTTCTGTGTTTCCCATTTTATTTTGGTATTTTTCGCTCTGTTTGCTGTTTTATTCCCCTGTTGGCCTTTTCAGCAAAAAGCCAATGCAGATGAAGTGCAAATGATAAGTTTTAATTTCGCTGGCCAAGCAAAGCAGACTCCGGCCGAGCAAAGCTGCCCGGATGAGATGCAATCAAAATGAAAACTCGAATGGAATTCAAATAAATCAGCAAATAAATTGAAAATTTTGATATTACATTTGGGACTGGAGCAGCTGCTGCCAGCATTTCCTGCTCTCATCAGGAGACGCAAAATACAAATGACACATTAAATTGTCGAAGCGTCTCCCAGGTCCAGCTACAACTACAGCTACAGCTACAGCTACAGCTTAAGCTCCAGCTCAGTGCCTGCCCACACATAAAGCACAAGTCAGCTTAACTAATTACGACAACGATAAGATAAGCAGTCAACAGGGAAAATCAGAGAGTCACAGACGGACAGACGTGGCGACCAGCTGAAAGAATTCCAAATACAAATGACATTCAATTTATTCAAATCAAGCCCAAATGACTGAAGCCGTAGCCAGAAGCAGAGACAGAAGCAGAGGCAGAGACAGAGGCAGAGGCAGAGGCAGAGCCAGAGCCAGAGCCAGAACCAGCATCAGAAACAGACCCTGACGCATGTCCCATGAGCGACTGGCGACTCGATTCTGACGCTGATTTCGTAAAATAAATTGCAATTTCATGTCCATCAACGCACAGCCCAGCGCGCTCATAGAACTGTCTCCGGTCAGGGAGGTGGGCGTGGGCCATGCACAAGGGTCTGTGGCTGCCTTGACTGTCGGCAGCTCTGGCTATCGCAGCAGCAGATCTTGTTTTCAGCTAGCTACAAATCCCGAAAAACAATGCGCGCAACATTAACGCAACTGCAGCGAACAACTGTGACAACATCAGCAACAACAACAACAACAACAGCAACAACATCGTGTTGATGCTCTGATAAGGCAAGAGGGAGCCTGCACGCTGCGGGTCGTTGCAAGCGCTGAATCGATAGTAAATGCTCTCTGGTCACACGCTTTAGGGGTATTCGAGAGAGAGAGAGAGAGAAAATTTAATCTATGCTTCATTACTGCAACTACCATTAGATGAGCCCATGGAATACTTAAGCGCCTCAAGCGCCTAGTGGAAGCTGTCCAGTCCCGTAAGGCAATGCGCAAATGGAGCAGCTATCAATGTCATTTACAAACTTTAATTGATAATAATTAAGGCTGAGGCAAAAGCTGATATGTTAGCTGAGCAGGAGACCAGGGAAAACCTGACTTGAATCTGCCAAAAAATGAGGCTCTATTTAAAGTATTTCATTGTATTATCTACCTGAAGCACACACTTTAATCTACTCTAACAGTATGCTTCTACAGAGTTGTCTATATTCGACTGACTATATTTTTGCAAGGAAATCCTGACTTGAGGACAAATCCTTCGAAACTTTTGCTCTGCTTAATATATTTTAATATATTTTGTTGCTCTTGCTTATTGCATATTTGCTATTTGAAAGACACAGTCCGATCTACTCTAACAATATGTTTCTACAGAGACAAGGAACATCCTGACTACTTCCTTAACTTCCTTTAGGCAAATCCTACGACACTTTTGCTCTGCTTAAGATATTTCATTCTAATATGTTCAACTTTTTTATTACGTATTTACTAGTAAACATGTAAATATTATCCACCTGAAACACACACTCTGATCCACTATAACAATATATTTCTAGTTCTTTCCCAAGTGCCTCATAAATCTGTTTCAGAAACCTTTCAGACTCTATGACTTGCTCAACAACCCGAACTGCATAGACGCATATTAAACGAAGCTGGAATAGATCTGCTGCTATGTTCAAGGTCTATGGGGCTCTTAAAGGATTACCAATGCTGGCTTTTTATTTGCTCATCAAAACAGGAATTTATTTTCTTTATAGCCGCACACTTAGCTGACATTTACGACGCGGCTCTCTCATGAGTGTGTCTGTCTGGGGCCGCGCAGTCAGTCTAATGCATGACTATTGTTTACTTACTGCGCGCACTGAAGACCCCTAATAAAACAATTGGTCAGAGAGCAAGCGAGTCGGGGCAAAGGTAATTACACGAACTCTGGCCACATGCAGCATGCTGCATGCTACATGCTGCATGCTGGATGCTGCATGCCACATTGCGGCGATGCGTGCCTTGAGCAACGGAACGCCACATGGAACGAGTAGCGATGCTAATGAGCCGCTAAAAGCAACATAAATGACATAAAGTTGCTTTTTTACGACTGCGGTAAGTGTTTCAAGCTCTCCGGGTCTACAAATTTTTATGACAAACGCCGGACTCGGATTCGAATTCGAATTTGGATTTGGATTTGGAACGTTTCAACTATTCGTGCGGCCGCCCGCTTGGGTTATTTTCGTTTATTAAAATCGCATAAAGTGCAGAAATATGTTAGGTCAGATCGTAAAAGCCGAGACCAAATGGAAATTCTACTATTGTGGGCGTATGGGCGTGTGGGCGTGTAGGCGTGTGGCCGTATACCGGTTGGGGCGTCTGTTGCCTCGACGAATTGTGGGGCATTTAATTGACGTCGACGTCAAAACTGTGCGGCATGTGGCAGCACACACAAAACACAAAGGTCGTAAATGTTATCGCAAAATACGGCAGGCAAACAAATTTCCAAATGTGGATGAAAAACAAAAAAAGAAAATAACAAAAAAAAACTAAAAACTAAAAAAAAAGGAGAAAAAAAAAAAACGAAACGAGAATATTTCAAAAATTTGTGCGTCTATAAAAACAACGAGGAGCGGAAATGCATGCAGCGCATTTGAAGCTGTGCATTTTGGTGTTTGATTTACATTTTAACGAGCTGCTTTTCACACCGAAAACCCCAAAATCAAAATCCAAAATGCGCTGTAATGGGACAGCGCTAGTGAATGACTCAATTAGGCTGGGGCCAGGGGCCGCAACAACACACACACACACACATGTTATTCCCATAGACGGCTGGCAATAAATTAAACAACCCGCAGATGAGCAACCAGCCAATGGCAGCAGCCGCGTGGCAACACTTGAAAAACCCATCGAATCGATCGATTCCCAAACATCAATAAGCTGCGCTTAACGTAGTTTACGACTAGTCTCCATGTGTATGTGCATGTATATCTATAACTCTGAGAGTTAAGTGGCTCTCGAACCGAAGGGCAGCTGCCCCTCCTGTTCTGGCACTTACCAGGTGGTCCGGGCGGTCCCGGCGGACCCTCGATGATGCCCGTTGGGAACTCGTCACCCTTGATGGTTGTGGTGAGTCCGCGATCACCGCGATCGCCTTTGTCGCCCTGCAAACGAGACGAGAAGCAAACGTATCAATGAGTCACAGGGCTGCATCTGTATTGATGTCTGTCTGTTGGAAAATTAAGTGGAAATGGCAAGCAAGAGGCACCATAAAAGGTGACAAGGGTGAGGGAGAGAGAGAGAGAGAGAAAGACTGAGGGAGGGGCGCTTAATACATAAATAAACGATAAATAATGTGGAAAACCGAGAAAAAGACAATGGGCAAATCGGAAAAACAAAGCCAGACAGCGCACAATGACACACACACACAAATACTTATACACACACACACACACACAGATACGTGAGGACGACTCACTTAAAACGTCACAATGTTTATCCAACAGATACAAATAGTGCATTAATCCCTGTGACATCTTTGTTTTACTTATGAATCGTTTCGAATTCCTATCGTTCCCTCTCTCATTCTCTCTCTCCCTTCCTCTCTCTCTTTGCTTTTGTTTTGTGTGAATCACTCACCTTCATGCCAGGTGCGCCAGGCACACCGGGCGGTCCAATCGGGCCTGGCTGTCCGGCCTCACCCTGTAGTCCCTGCTGTCCAGTTTCGCCTGGTGGTCCACGCTCGCCCGGCACGCCCGCTACGCCCGGCTCTCCCGGCGGTCCCGGCGGACCAGGCTCGCCCGGCTCACCCTAGTCGATTGAAAGAAATACGTTTATTAGTTTGTCCAGGCAACGACAGATCTTCCGCATAAATGGATAGGCACGTGCATTGAACAGAGAGGAAACCACATAGTGGGAGGCATGCATTACACTGAAAGGATAATAGCCAAGGACCCCAGCACTCACCTTCAGCTGTATGACCGTCGAAGCGGAGACGTTAACGCCCGCTTCTTGCAAGTCCTTACAAACCACACACACATTAAATTAAACGCAACGTATTAGAAAATAAAATAAAAATATATGTTAAATGGGTTAATCAAAATATAGAGAAAATAAATAAATATAAACCTTAGCTGCTGCAAGGCAAAATTAAATTTGTACTAAAAAGGAAAATTAAAGTCAATCAAATAGCAAAAAGAAGATTAAGTAGATAATATAAAATTATGTAATTAATAAAAATTAATATTATTTTTTTTACTATTATTTTTTTTAGATATTTGTTTCAATAAATTTCTAAACGATTAAACAAAAACCAAAGAAAAAATCGCCTGTTGACTCAACTTGACAGCACGCCATAAACAATGCATTTAAATGAAATAATATGCAGGAATAAAATGTAATAACAATTATATGAATTACATTCGAAATCAAAAGTGTGGCCTGGCATGAAATACGGCGAGTATGTAAATTAAAGAGCTTTGCATAAAAACAAACAAGAGCTGACATGAGAGCAGAACAATAAAAATGCCATTGCGACAGTTCAAACAGCAAAGGGATACGCCATAAAGGATGGCCGTCTGGTATTTCAATGCAACAAAATGACTAAGCAGAAACTATGCAGAAGTAGCTACAAATTTATGGTGCAGTTTAAGCCGAAGAGCTGAGTCAAGTTAAAAGCATTACGAACAACAATGAGCAGGATAATAAACAAGTACGTATACAAACTAAAACAACAACAACTACAACAACTACTACAACTACGGCTACGACTACGACTACGGCTACAAGGACAAAGACAAGTGCAGTGGACAACAAGTTGTAAATATTTGCAAACTCTCTGTCCGACTGCTGTTTGCCCTGAGATATGGCCATGGCCAGGCCAGCAGGTTTAGGATTACGAGCGGGTGCGGGAGGGAGTCGGTTGTCAGATCTAGTGTACGGCAGTTGAAACGTATTTATGACGGAGAAATACCTTAACAGCTACAATTTCCGCATAGCCAAGGGTGCCGCCATGCAGCGTTGTCACCGATCTCTTGAGGCCCTGCAGAGAACGAATGCAGAGAAAGCAGAGCAGAGCATTTTGGTTAGAGATTTGCGGTAGAAACAAAGAAGAAATCAAAATAGAGCACAATTCCTTTGATATAACATTTTCGGAATTCGAGCAACGAATCTCGTATGCAGATTTGCAGCAGCAGCAGCAGCCGATTTGAGTGCATCCGCGCTCTCCACTTACCTTCACCGTTTGGAAGACGTCGACGCCCGGATGGCCGGTATCGCCCTTTTGGCCCTTGTCGCCGGGCTTGCCGGCCGCGCCCTTCTCGCCGCTGATGCCATTGAGACCCTGGGAGAGAACAAGTTGAGCACATTGCCGTTAGTTGTTGCCATTCGGATCTCTCCACTAAGCACTTACCGCCTCGCCCTTCTCGCCGGGGTCGCCCTTCTTGCCGCGCTTCCCTCGCTTGCCGGGCGGTCCAGGTGGACCGGGTGGACCTGCAATTGAAATGCAATTTCGTCGTCAGTGGCGAATTGGTAAAGTTTTCATATTCGACTTTTTGCTGCAGTTAACTGCAAAAGGCAACGTCAGCCAGTGTCTTAAGGTCAACCGATTCCGCCTCATTAGATACGCTGCTGACTTTGCCAGCGACCGCAGTTGCCGTCCACTGACATGGCGAATGCCAAGGAGCGTCGCCACTCTTGAAATTTCTTTTCATTTCAGTTAGTTTTTGCTTCTGTTCACTTCTTTTTTTTTTCTCTGCGCATTTTGCCCGCAACTTGTGCAAATTCATTTAGCTGAAAAATGACTTTCGCTGCAGCGTCAAGCGGAAGGACAAAAGTGGCCAGAGGGCAAAACAGAAACTGTGCACAAAATATTTATAACCACTTTGGCTGCTATTATTTCAGCGCTGTGGAAAACTTTATCTGCTGCTGCTGCTGCTGCTGTTGCAAGTGCCGCAGGATGCACCAAGGAGCAACAGCGCTGCCTCACATAAAAAAACAGGACAAAAACTCGACTCGATGCTTTTCAATTATTTCGCATGCAATTTTCCGGGGCATAAAATTTCAGTCAACGTGCTTTATAGCTACGACTGGCAATTATTCTTATTAGAGCCGACATTCAAGATACTCGCTGACGCTGTTGTTGCGCTGCCCCTGCTTAAGCCGACTGTCCTTTGCCGTTGCCTGGAGACAGGAAATTAACACCTACATAAAGGCCAGAGCAAGATGCTGGCAATAAAATGAATGTCTGGTCGCGTCCCAGCCAGGCGCAAATGAAGTAGGTGTGAAAATATTTAATTAAAATAGCAGCCAGCCAACAAACATGATAACAAAAGCGCCCAGAAAGGCGACGAAAAAACACAGCAAAAAAAAAACACAAAACGAAAACAATAATAACAAAAGCAACAGGAAACACGCGCAGTATTTTCTCTCTCCCTCTCTCTCTCTCTCTCTCTCTCTCTCTTTTTGCTAAGACTATCTGAGAAAAGGCAGACCTTTCGGCTGCTGTTTAATAATTGTTATAATTAAGTAATTCCGTTTCTAGCTACTCTTAGTGTGAACGAAAACCGAATACGAAAAGGTGCAAGTGAATAATAATAAAAAGAAAGCGAAAGAAAAACTCCAAAGGCAAAGGAAGCTGCCTTTAATACAGGAAACGCCGGCAAACAATTTAAATTCATTTCGCGCCAAAATGGCGCCACAAACTACCAAAGTGAAAAAAAAGGCCCGAACCGAAGCGTACCGGCACGCGTCGCTGTTTAAATGTGTACGTCTGTGTATGTGTGGGTGTGTCTGTGTGGGTGGGTGTGACTGACTATGTAGGTGCGATGTGAGCAGCCACAGGCAGACACTGAACAGCCAGCATGACTCCGGAGCAACGGAGCAACGCCCCTCAAATGCAGCCAGCTCATTTAATTAAAAAAAGATTTTCATTTGCCTTGCGTCACATTGGGCCGAGGGCAGCCAAAGCAAAAGGCAATTGAAAGGCCCAGCTTCGAAGGAAATGCTATCAAAGTAGGTGCTAAAAACAATCTATTGCCAAAAGGTGAGAGCTGATCAGTTGACCCCAAGAGCAATTCCAAAGAAGAATAGAGTGTGAAGCTGTCTCAATACAATCTCATTAGTCTATGTAGTACATAGCCTATCATTAATCTATATAAAGTCGGAAAAACTTAAGCTCTACTCTGTACCAAGCCGTATAGAAATTATGCGCACACTGTGCGGCAGCACTTGGCAAGTAATAAAAGCGAACCAATTAAGCGTGGCCAAGACGCAGGCACAGCCTGAAACAATGGACGGTCATTGCCTGGTTGCTTAGCTTAGCCAGCGCCTGGGTACACTTGAGGCAACTTGGCTAACATGGCCAACTGGGGCGTCAAGTGTCGTGTCGTAAGCCAAAGCCAAACGGAAGTGCCGCAGTGCCAAAAACAAGAGAAGAAGAAGAAGAAGAGCTTGACTTAACAATGCCAGCGGAAGTGAGCAGAACAAAAGCAAATGGGGCAGCAGCAGCAGCAGCAGCAGCGCAAAGAAAACAAAAAAAAAAAAAAAGTTAAAATTACGCTTAATCTAATAACAACATAATAATCATAATCATCATATCGTTTGCCCTCCACATGCGCTGCGCTCTTTCCCAGTTGGGTTGCCATTAACGCCGCACTTTTCGTATATATTTTCTTTCTTTTTCGTATTATTTTCGCGTTGATGGTGGCGACGGTTGCCGTCATTTTGGCCAACAGTTTTGCAGCCTGTTAACGTTGTTTGTTTGCTGTAATTGTTGTTGTTGTTGTTGCTGCCTAATGCGCTAAGAAATCCCATTGACATGGCCAGAGAATGAGACAAATGTGATGCTTGGTGGGCTCATAGATAAAGTTCTTAAGTCAAAACTTGCTTCACTTTTCCCACTCGAGCTCGAGCCCCACTTGTGCTCGATAATAATCTAGATAATGACGATAATGTGTAACACTGTTGTTGCTGATAATGATGATGCTGATGATGCTGATGGCAATTGAACGCCCTCAATGAGCGCGTAATGCAAGTCGCATACACACGCACAACTTCCATAAATCCATATCGAGCTCTTCTCCTCGTCTGCTCAGCCCAACTTCCCGCTCCAATCGAGAGCAAGCAGCCCAGTAGACTAAAGTGGCATTTACTCCAAAGCCGTTGCCGTTGCCGTTGCTGCTGCAGTGGCAGAGCTCCCCTCGTTATGAGCGCTGCCTATGGCTGGGGCGGCTTTCGGTTGAGCTTTGGCTCAACTGCCAGAGCGGAAAAAAGGAATTATGTCAAGTTGTGCGCGTAATAAATACTTGGAATCGTTTACGTGCGTACAACGCCGCCGCGACACGTACAACAAACAAGCGCTAAACAAGCTGGCAAACACTCGCACAGCCAGATAGTTAGACAAAGAGAGAGAGAGAGAGAGGGGGAGAGAGGGGAGATAGAGACAGAGAGAGAGGGAGAGCAAGTGCGTCTGTTGAGTGGCGGCAATTGACGCTCGTGCGATCAGCGGAAAGAGCGGAGCAGGAAAGCCTAATTTAGTGTTTAGCTAATGGTAAACAACACCTCGCATCCTGCGGATCCTTTGACCTCGCATAGGACATTTGCGGACATTTTGCAGACATACTCAAAACAGTTGAATGTAGTTGAATATTTGTATTCCCCATAAATGCTTTTCATTTTTGTTTCTCTAAGAGTATATGTGTATATAAACTCTGATAAGATATACTAGCAAATTGAGCCAAGTGTGTGTGTATGTGTGTGTGTCAACAATCGTGTCGCATACGTCGTGCAATGCAGTCAAGCGTTAAATCACGAGGCAGCGTCTAGAGTTGATGATTGCTTTTTGGCTGGGTATCAGTTGCCTTTTGCGGATTGGATTGGCAGTCATGTTGTTTATACTTGCCCGCTTGATTGCTGTAGCTCAATAAGTGTGTGCCAGTGTGTGTGTGTGTGTGAATTACACAGCTGCTTGACTTATGCGCCATAAGTTTAAAGTCAGTGAAGCAAAACTTTGGCTTAGCTGGCATCTATTTAATGAGTTTGAGACCTTGGCTCTACGAAATTTTCATTACCCCTGCCCCAAAGAGCAGCTGCACACACACACACACATACACATATACTTATACTTAAGTAGCTGACTGCAGCAGCTGTCTGTGTGCACTTTTGCCTGGCTATACGACATCCTGTCAAGGACGTCTGCGTGCAAAATTAACTCGAAACGCAAACATCGCTGGCAAACTTTTGGCTTGTGCCGTGTCGCGTGCGACATTTGCTGCCAAGGCGGAGCATCCTACGAGAATCCTCCGCCACCCAACTGGGAGAATATGAAAACGAAAAAGTCAAAGTCAAGCTGAAGCATATGAATATGCTCAGTTGAATTGTTTTGCGCGCTGTCGAACTCACCCACTCCTCACTCAGTCTGTCAGTCAGTCGGCAAGGACACTTGATTTAATCTTGTTTTTGTTAGTTGTTGCCATCTTCAATAAATGCAGTTGCCTGTGTACGTCTAGCAGGAGCAGCAGCAGCAGCAGCATGAGCAGTAGCAGCAGCAGGAGCAGGAGCAGCAGGAGCACCTCGAGCAACAACAATGTCTATAATAAAGCATCGCCGCTGCAGCTGTCGCTCCATGCAAACACCGAAACTTGTCCTTGTCCTTGTACTTTGCCCTTGTCGCTGCCATCTGCTGTCTCGCTCGCTCTCAGCATTCACGAAATGCGATACTTTGCTACAAGAGATAATTCTTGTCGTTCGCCTGAATAAAGTCTGTCGCCCTTTTTGCCAACGGTATTCAGTTACGTTCTCTGTCTCAAGTTGTTGTTGTTGCTGCTGCTGCTGCTGCCTTTGCTACTGTTTCACAGTCAGAATACAAACACACACACGCACACGCACTCACGCACATAGTGGGGACAGCTATGCGTATACGTAATGTAGAAGAACCCAGCTCTGTTACAACGGGAAAAATCTATGTTTATGCATATGCTGGATGGATGATACAGTAAAAACCTGCAACAGCCGGCCGAACAGGTTAAGGTTCGCTTCACTCTGATTTATGGAAGCTCATTAAAAATAAATAAATACCAAAAAAAATGAAACAAAAACATGCAAGAGAGAGTGAGAGAGAGAGAGAGAGCAAAACCCGTTTGCAGCTCTTGTTAAGACACATAGGCACACAGGCAGGCACTGATAATGCATTGGCCATAAATCAGCTGGCAGTTGTAGCTGTGTCATGTCTATTGGCTAATTAAAAGGCTATCTGAGCAGCACTTAATTAACGTAATAGCCAAATTGCAGCTTACACAAATGCATCTTGGAGCTGCCTGTGGCAGTGGCAAGCAGTTGTTGCTCATGATGATGGCAACGAATCCAATTAATGCATTGGCCTGGCTACAATGCTGTCTTAGCTAAGCAACATTGTTGCTTCGAGTGGGCAGCGATAATTATGGGCAGGAGTCGGCCAGAAGGACGTTGCTGTCCTGGCCTTAGCATAAACAGCT